CTCTCTCCACTTTGCCATCATACCCATGTGTAAAGTAAAGTAAAGTTGTTCTCGCATCCGATCCGGACATTGGGGATTGCCTTGTTAGTGAGACAACTTTCTGGGCCTTCGGCCTATTGTGGAAGGGTGGCCAGTTCCTTTCCACGCCGCTCTTACTTCCCCAACTTTTAAAGTCAGGTACCCATTACTGCTGGGTGGGGAGGAGGGGGCGAAAAAAATCCATGTCGGAACCGAGGCTCGAACCCGGACTTTCCGCTTCGGAGATGAGTACACTAACCGCTGCGCCACCGCACCCTCACCCTAGTGTACTTTTTAAATTGAGATGAAGTTGCTAAATTGATATACATGTATATGTCCTTACTCTTGGGCCAAAACTGGAGCTTGCCTTAATAATTTTGATAAAATGTGTTCTTACACGATGGAATCAGGCATTGCCAATTTTTTAGCATGGAGTTGAGTCTGCTCTGTCTGGCTGCTGCACTGCAGGAACGTTTTTAGATTAAATTTAGAAAGATGTAAAGCATGATTATGTCTATAAGAATCTTTAAGTGAAAGCTAAAGACATGTTTTTCTTTTGTTTTGGTTTGCAGCCATGTCTTTTGATTCTTTGCCGAACAAGGATGAAGTCGACCCAGAGGTTGCCAGTTTCATCCAGATGGAATCACAGAAAGCAGAACTTCAGGCACAGGTTAGTCTCATAACATAATCCATTTCGCTAGTCGCTGGAGATGAGTATTTTTTGCTTGCTTCTTGCTTCTAGCTATGAGCCCTTTTCTATTCTCTGTTTGAGTGATTTCTGCCCTTTCGCTCCTACTCTACACTACTAAATGGTAAGGAGGTGCAAAAACATGTCTGCAATATTTTATTTTCAAGAGATGAATAGTGGTGAAGATAAGACGTTGTTGGAGGTCTGTCAACTGCTGGAACAAATAACTGGCTGTGAACAATGGCCTATGTCGGTGCCTTGTGTCATGTGTAGTGTCTACCTGGTGGGGTTGGGGTGGAGTAGGGGGAGCAGTTTACATTTTATTGGACTTTATAATTTGAGCAGTTGGCAGATGATACTTTAAGCCCTTTGTTGCCAGGGTGGGGATGCGTGTTTTTACTGTCAACACTGATTTTCAGCTAAGCTGGCCCCGCGGAAAATTGCATTTTTGAAATAGAAAAATTGCAAAAAATTGCAACCTTCCCATCCCAGCCGCATTAATACGGGCTTAATGTTTGTAGTTGATAAAACTTGGCAATTTGAGTACCGGTAGCATAAAAGCAGAACAGCCTGTTAGAAAATCATGACCCACAGTACAAATTTTATTAACAACATTTACTAGTAACAACACACGTACGTTAACAATAAAGTTATGGACCAAATATAATTTAATACCCCGTGAACCAAAATAACGGA